ACAGCTGAAGGTGGGACTGCAACCACAGCAACGCCTCTGGAGGGAGAGACATGGAAGCGGTCTGAGAGTCCCACACCAGGCCCAGCCTGGTCCGAACCTGGGATGGAACCAGATGGGACTTTCCCCAGTTTACCAGGAACCCGAACATGGCGAGCTGGGAAAGAACCATACCCCTGGCGAGCAGACAAGCAGACCAGCTGGGAGACCACACCAACCAGTCGTCAAGGTAGGCCAGAACCCGAACCCCTAACAGACACCAACAGGTCGCCACGACTCGTGTAAGACGCGTGAATATGCAGGGTGCCAGTTTCAAGCCAAAAGGAAGGCAATGAAAGCTGTAAGTTTGTTGTCCCACAATGAAACCTAACCAGTCTCTGAACCCCGGATGAATCGGGACATGCCAATATGCATTCCACACAGTCCTGTTTCAGCACTGGAAACAGGCGGGAAACCCACCTGAAAGACGAGGTTGTTTCCACCAGCGACCCACAAAGGGGACGATGCCCCTTATGAGAAAACAGCCGACGAGCAAAGCAAACATCGCACAAACCAGACGATGCTGTCTCCGAAGGAATCGCCAACTCAAACTGGCACCAATGGCCCACCCTGACTGGAAGAACCCCAAGCCCTGGCACGACCCTTCCAAAAAGTCTGAGAACGGCCACCCAGGAGAATCAACAAGTCCGACACAGGGCGACAATTAGAAGAGGCTGCCTGCAGAAACTGAGCGACAGCAGCCTCCGCAAACAACAATGGACAAAAAGATGATGAAAACCTAAGAACCAGGGCCCAAGTGGATTATGAGCAAGGCCTGGCTGCATGCGAGGCAAGAAGTAAAGAACAGACACACTGCCTTCCTGAGAATCAGCACAAACAGCTTCAACAGTGCGGCTGACACCCGAGCCGCCAAGGTTAGCGCATCAGATGAAGGCCCAGCACTCAACGCCTCCACATCCTCCCCAAGCCAGTCCGAGGACAGCTTGAGAAGGGAAAAGAAGCGCAAGACCAAGGCAAAATGCCCTCAAGTGCGCAAGTCATCAGCTACCAAAGATGCCGAAAAGGTGAGAACCTGCACATGCAGCTGCACAAGGCCAACATCCCACGGATAAACGTGAACGAACAAGCACACATTAAGGTGGTCAAACTCACCCCCAAGCTAAACCTACAGAACGGTAGCAGCCTCCTGCCATTTGAGCGTGCGAGTCCGACAAAACCCACGCCATGCTCATGCAAGGAGAAAGGGCAGTTTGCAAGCCAGGAAGACTCTGGAACCTCATAATGCACCCAATAATGGAAAGAAGAACTGAACTCAAATGAGGACGGATCTATCACAGAGGCAGAATCTGGGTCTCAAAGGAGGTACGCCGAAAGAGCCTCCCGAACCTGCTTAGGCGAGATTCGAGGAAGAAGCCGAGGAACCCAAGAGAACCCGGAACTGAACCTGGGGAGGAACCAACCCCAAATCATACTCATTCAGGGAAGGGGGTAAGTAAACCCCTCCCCCTGCAACAACAAGCCCTGCAAAGAGGGCACTAACACCAAGTCGTGTCAAAAGGAGCCCCAAGTCTCCCCAGGTCAAATCCTTCCAAGCCCTGGGATCCTCCAAACCAGGACCCGAGGCAGAGCTGTCTTCCACACCTTCTACCCCTGAAGAAAAGGCAGAGTCCAGGGAAAAAGTAACAAAGAAGGGGGTCTGCTGGAAGGACACAGGGGACCCTAGAGGAGGTCCACCAAAATACCTTAAGTGGACCAATATCCAAACAAGGCAGACCCCCTCCAGGCAAAGAAAACAAAAATAAAAGAAAACCTAGTAAAAGTACATCATCACCAAAAGGAACAGGAACACGACTGCTGCGTTGGTAGACAAGCTGCACAACACCTTGCTGCACCTCCCTATCATTTCAATACGGCCATTGGGGCAATACTTTACCAGCAAGAATACCACTACCTACCCAAGGCCAAACAAAGCCCATGAAATCCCAGCTGGTGCCAAGGGTGGGGAAAAAGCCGAGTGGCAAGAACCCCTGTGGAAGTGGGATCCCCGAAGGCACTATGGAAGGCAACCCTAGCACCCACGGGTAGTACTTAAAGGGCACCTAAAGAATGTAGCCCTAAGCACATGCAGCCCCAGTACACTGAAGTTACATCTGTCCACCGCACTACAAAACAACAGAACACCACTAAGGCAAAACACTGCCAAGAAATCGAGGCCAGAGTTGATGACCATCCCAGATCACATCAGCCAACGAACTGAAGGTGTGAGTAGCCAGTGCAGGGGATACAGGGCTCCCCCCTCTACCTCCCAGGGAGGGGAGGGCTGTGCGGACAAACAGCACAGCAGTGGTGTATGACGTTTGCTTGTTTGCTTGTTTCCTTGGGTGTTGGGGGGAGTTCTGCCACTTTGTTCGGTCTTCGGTTGCAATTTTCTTACCAAGTGGGGTTTGTTTTGTTATGTCTTTGTGTTTCTAACCCCGGTCAATGGCAGACATGGAATGCCCCCAACCACATGGGGGTTTCCATAGGCCATTGTTCCCTGTGCCTTTCCGAGAGGGGTGAGGTTCTGAGTCATGTCCCCGGTAGGCTGAACTCCAATTGACCGATGACCCAGACTAATATATCACATGTCAGTCCAATAGCTCCAGGGAGCCAAGGGGGCTCCCCACAGAAAAAGACATAAGAACCTTTCTGATGTACAACCTCAGAGATCACAGTACCATGTCCACACACACATCACCACCTCCCTATCATTGCTTTCAATACGGCCATTGGAGAATACTACACCAGCTAATAGAGAAGGAATGGTGCCCTATCAAATTTTTTTCGTCCTGCCTATCGCCTGCAGAAGAGAAGCACAACACCTTCAACAGGAACTCCTCACCATTAATGCAGCCATCAAGCATTTCCAATGCTAACTAGAAGAATGGGAATTTCATGTCCTCACTCACCACAAAACACTGACATGCCATGACAGTCAAGAGCAATTCTCACTCCCCACAGGTAGCCTGCAACCTGGAATACATCCAACCTCATCAAGAGTGCCAGCAACACAATATCTGATGTTCTTCTGGTCTGTTTGCCCCACCATAAGTCCTGTCTTGCAATGCCCGGCTCATGTGGCTTACTATGTGATCGCAAGGGCCCAGTGTAGAGACCCGGAACTTCAAGAAATATGGACGTTACTCACAGGGCATTGCTTCATCAACATTCCCTTGGTGGATGCAAACATATTGGCAAGCAACACTTTCCGGAACGGAACTCTGAGGCCCTACATTTTAACTCTGTTTCACTGGAAAATATTTTCAATATTACAATCTCTGGCACACCCAGGGGTGCATGCTACACAGCATCTAACAGAACCATTCATATGGCTGGGACTCAATGCCAATGCCTGCCACGGCTCACGTGTCTCTCCAACAACCACAGCCGCACCTCATGGTTAGCCTCATCATGATGCTGTCATACCAAACAACCACCCCTGTGACCATTTACATCAAATATACATCTAGTATATTTGATGTAAATACCATATACACAATATGGTAATATTGTGTATTTATTGTCCAACCTGTCAGGGTACCTAAAAAGTAAAGAGTTTAGTCAAATTATCTACGGTACACACCAAACACTGCCTCTCACTTCTGCCAGAGCAACACCACACACTATCTCATCATTCTAACCAAACATTCCCTGTTCATCTCCTACATAACAAGAACTGTCTGGTTACAGTCAATAGCTCCAAGATCACTTCCAATTCTTTTTTTGCACCAATCAGCTGTCTCTTAACTTTTCAATTTGTATTCATCAACCTTTATACCTTTGTGAGGCAATATCATTAATTTATTATTTTCATTCCTGTTCTTATGATCAGGTTCTCAATCCACTATTTACTCTCACTTTCTCCAAGGTGTGTTACTTTGTTTACAAAATCTAGCACTGGGACATCAAATATTAATTCAATAAAAGTCCAATTTTCTTTCTCTTCTGTTCTTCATTTACTCCCTAGACATTCCACACAGCCCCAGCAGCTTTCTCTTGTTTTCTTGGATTTGAGAACACACACACACACACACACCTAACTTGTTCCAACAGTCTACCACAGAGTGGTTGACTGTTGGAACAAGTTAAGTGAGAAGGTGGTGGTGGCCAAGACCGTCAGTAGTTTCAAAGCGTTATATGACAAAGAGTGCTGGGAAGACACCACGAGCGTAGCTCTCATCCTGTAACTACACTTAGGTAATTACACACACTAAATTTCAAAGTTCATCATCCCTAACTCAAATTGGCCACTTTTTTATTATAAAGGGATACAAGGCTATTTGCATTACTAAAGTATGCAATGAGGTCACCACATCCCTATGTGATAATTCTAGAGAAAATATTTATTGGAAGCATCCAATAACTCAAGATGGGGCTTAAGACTTAGTGTTCTGGTTTAAAAATCATTCTAACCATGATAGAATCTCTAAGTGAGAAAAAGACTTGCAAGATCCACATATGTCAATAGATTACAAAATGGTATCATGGACTCCCTGTCAGACCTCACACTCCCCAACTACCATCTGCTTGAGCGTTAGAAGGAGACCTTTTACACCAAATACTTCAAACTAAGGAAGGAAGGCATTGGTGGCTACTTAGTATCCCTAACAGTTAGCCATGATAAAGCTAACAGTAAGTGGAAACTAGCGCATATTTTAGATAACTGCCCGAAAAGCTGTGCATATTGGTGGCTTTAGGCATTGTAAGTACTAGCTCTATCTAGAAATCCAACATTACGTTTGTAACTCATCTTGTGTGTATGTACTTTTACCTGAAAAAACATTTGATTTGATTTGATTATCTTGAAAATGTTACTAACACTATGAATCCTTTTATATTCAATAGGGAGCAGTAGACAGCAAGCAGCATTGTTTATTAACTCATCCTTGTATTTATAAACAGTAATTTTAACAAATCAATAACAGCTATCAAAAGATCAAAATAAAAAGATACTAGGAACCTACACATTGTATTGACTGAAGCCAAGATGCTTTGTCCTGGAACGAGAAAAGCAAACAAATTGTGCATATGTTAATAAAGGGTGAAACATTCAAATAGGTTAAAAGCATGCAAAAGACAAACAAATATGGGGCTATAATTATACCAAGTAAGGCTACAACAAAATACAGAGTATTATGCACAGCATTCCGTAAATAGCATTAATAGCTTTGTGAATGCAAAGCATCAAATTTGCCACACACAGTTTAATGAAAGTCAGTGCAAGATATCTATACAGTACTAAGAACTCTCTTTATATAATACTACACTATGTCGCATCTTATAACATATCTATATTGTCAATACAATATAGATATGTAATATAGATATATTGTCAATACAATATAGATAGGCCCGGCCCGGTGCCAGCCGCCCTGCACACCAAGGTGGGCCGAGTGTTTTGCGTCAGTGTGCACCTGCACTAATATGTGTATACTGTACTCTCTCTAGTTTTCTCACGTCAATTCTTACGCTAGGTCGCTCGTTTTGGTATCAAATTGTTCACAATAGAATAATCTAAAGGGATACATGCAAATAAGGTCAAAAAGCCTGGTCACCACACGCAGCAAACCCCAAAATCGGCCGAGCATTACCTGAGAGCGTGCACCCACCCACAATCAAATGTTTATACTCTTTTTTCAGTGTCCTCACCTCAATTTTTGTGCTATGTCGTTGATTTTGGTATCAAATTGTTCGCAATAAACATCTCTAAAGGAAAATAGGCATACAAGGTCAAATGGCCTGGCAAGCTACCCACACTGAACACCAAAATCGGCAGAGCATTACCCGTGAGCATGCACCCGCACTCAAATTTGTATGCTCTTTTCAACGTTCTTACCTCAATTTTCGTGCTATGTCATCCATTTTGGTGTCAAATTATTTGCAATAGAATGCTCTAGAAAGATATATGCATATAAGGTCAAATGGCCCAGTGCCACATGCAGCACACCCCCAGTTAGGTTGAGCTTTACCCATGAGCGTGCACCACACCACTCGCATTCAAATATTAACTCTTTCCAGTTTTGTCACCAATTTTTTTTGCTACATCATTCATTCTGGTAACAAATTGTTTGCAATCAAAAGGCACACATTTGAAAACTAGTCCCATAATGATTGGGGACATAATGGATTTATAATGGATATTTAAATTTTGGATTCAGTACGCGTCCTTGCCCAGATTGAGTAAGTTCATATACGGACGCATTACGAATTATCAGCCAGGCAAAGTGTTAAGGTTATCTAATTTTCCGATAATTATTTCTTTTTTCTTTTTCTCATATATTTTTCCTCCTTTTTCCAATGAAAAGTAAAATAGTTCAATATAATCGGTTCTTATATTTGTATACATCTATAATACAGTACACAAAGTACTGAACAGCCATTCACTATTTTCTGAGCTATTCCACTGATGATTGATCCCTTAGGCAAGTTTATTGAATGTCCCATATGACAGGACCATGATACAATTTTCAAGGCAGGTTGACAACCTGCCTCAGTGCAACGGGGGATCTTGTCAAGCAACTGCAATAGGTCATATTAGTGCTAGGGAGGCAACTGATTGAAGATCAGTCCAGCCCAGACTATAGAAAACTTATTGAAATTACAAAGCCTTTTATATTACCTTTGAGCCCAATTTGGCACAACAGAGCTAATAAATAGCACTCTCACCGAATTGCTAGTTTCCCCACCCATGGCTGCTGAGTGAAGATGAAAGCAGACAGCTTTGGTGCTTGCAACTGAACCCTTAGTGGGAAAAAAAAAATATGTTGAATGTAATGAAACACCATTTTCTGGGTGAGCCCCGGAGGCTCCCTTGAGCTATCGGACTGATATACGCTATATTAGTCTGGGGCATCAGGTCAATGAAGTTCTGCCGACCGGGGACCACGAGCCAGAACCTGGCCGCCTCAGAGAGGCACAGGGAGCAATGGTCTATGGAAACCCCCATGTGTTTGTAAGTAATTCCATGTCTGCCATCGACCAGTATTAGGCACCCAGAAAGGTAGGCATAACAAAATAAACTCCACTTGGTAAGAAATTGCAACCAAAGACCGAACAGAGAGACAGAACTCCCAAAAAAATCATAAGAAAACAAGCAAACTTCATTCACCGCTGTCACACCGCTTGCCTGCGCAGCCCTCCCTTCCCCGGCTGGGGAAAAGCCCTGGTCACCCGCACCGGCTACTCGTACATCAATTTGGAGGCTGAGCATCAAAAACAAAACCGCCAACAGGAGGGAGGGAGGGTGCCAGGGAGCTTCCGAGCTTCACCCAGAAAATGGCATTTCATTACATTCAACGTTGATTTTCGGTCGGAGCCCCTCTGGCTCCCTGGAGCTACATAACTAAAGACAAGTAAAAGAGGGACTTACCCGGGAGGCGACCACAACACGCACATCAACTCAAAGGTGAGACAACTGGCTGCAACCGCCAACCCAAAGCCACACACGAACGACCAGGACAAGGTACATTTACCAAATAACGGTAAATAACGGAAGGACCTTGTTCGACCTCTAAAATCCCCGTGCCCGAATGTCGACCCACGACACGTTGCCAAACACGGTAGCCAAAACAGCATATATACGAATGTCATGGGCACGAGGACAGACCGCAGGCTGGTTAGACCTAATAACCCTGAGGACGAACTGAGAGACCTGAGTGCTGGCACAGGGAACGAAGGAAATCAGATCAACCCAAAACACGTCCCCGGCCACAGAAGCCAAGGTGCACAGGTAACAGTAAAGCCACAATCGGACACAACACATGATGCACCCCTGGCATGACCAACAAAGCATCAATGACCAAGGGCCCCTCCGGAAGCCCGCCAACTTCTTGTTTGCCAGAAAAGAAGGAGACGGCTGCAAACGAACAAACCAGCCATCAGGACCGAAAGAGCAGAAACCCCTGTGCTGGAGGAGAGCATGAAGTTCACCAACCCGACCCCCAGAGGTTAATGCCAACAGATATAGAGCCTTGGAAAAACAATCTTGAATCGAAGGGGCCAGCACAAACTGAGGAGAAGAGAGAAAAAAAAGAGCACCCGGTCCAAGGACCAGGAAGGCTCAGGCAGCACATGAGCAGGCCAGAGATCAAACAAAGCACGAGGAAGCGTACGGAATGGGACAGAGGTGACATCCACCCACGAACGAAAGCTGAAGCAGCTCTGCCAGCGCCGTATAATAAGAGGCGACAGTATTGGGCATCAAATGATGGTCCTGAAAGAGCCAAGAAAGAAAGAACAAAACAACCCAAATGGATATAGAAGACAACCTACGAAAAGAGAGGAAATTGCAAAAAGAACGCCAGGAAATTTCATACTGTTGCCGAGACGAAGACTGCAGGTTAGACACCATCAATGAAGCCACCTGATCACCATACAAGTGGTGATTCACCCATGTCAAAACGACCAGACGCAAAGAGCAGAGTAGTAGAACGAACCAGCATGTACAGGACAGGTTCGATCTGCTGAAAGAAGCAGAGCCACGGGTTCGGACACCGAGCAAGCAGCGCCTGAAACCAAGGCAGGGCCGGCTACCTAGAGGCCACAAGGATGACTCTCCCATGGTAAGACTCCAAAAGAGCCAGAACCCAAAGCAACAGCTGGACCAGGGGAAAGAGGTATAGGTAAACCCACTTCGACCAGTCCTGCTGAAAGGCATCCACCGCAACAACTCCACAGTCGGGAAAGGGTGCCACATATATCGGGAGATGCCTCGACCACGTCAATGCGAAGGTCCACCTCCAGAAGCCCAAACGTCTGGCAGAGCCAACTGAAGGAGTCTGTGTTGACCGTCCATTCCGTGGACAGGGAAATGAACCATGACAGACTGTCCGCCAGAACACTGAACACTTCCCGGCTGTAAACCGCATGGAGAGCCAAACCCTGAGAATCCAGCAGACAAGTCACTCGAAGTGACCAGCCCCAAAGAGCGAAGGACCGGAGAGTGTGTCTGCAGAGAGCAGTCCGAATGGAGCCGGACTATAGAGCCCGAGTGACCCAAACCCTCCGAAGCGACAGCCAAACTGCTGAACTCCCGCACTGTGCTGTGAGCCTGACGGAAGGACGGAGCCTACCGCCCCTGGCCAGCCTGGTGAGCACTGGTCACAAAACCCCAGCCGAAAGACGAGGCATCCGTGAACACATCAAGCAAGGGCTTGGGTAAGCACCAAGGCACTAAACCCCAAAAAGCCCGAAGAGGAAGCAGATGACACAGCAACCGACACAAGGTCGGTTGCTGTGTCGACCTTGCGACACAGGAGGTCGAAGGTCGGAGGTCGAACTCGGCGGTCGCGAGAGAGGCGGAAGGGACAGCCTCAAAGGAACTGGAACAAACACTGAAGCCAGCTGGGTAAACCAGCACGGTGAAGGTCAGACTTCCCAGCACAACTGGTCAAGCCAATGATGAACGACCCGGAAACCCCCTAGACAGGCCACCATGACCCGGGTAAGATGCGTGAATATGTGAGGTGCCAGATTCAAGCCAAAAGGAAGGCAACAAAAGTGGTAAGCCTTTCACCCCACAACAAAACCTAACCAGTCCCTGAACCCCGGATGAAAAGGGACGTGTCAAAATGAATCCCGGAGGTTCGGAGACACCATTCAAGAACCTGGTTCGAAAAGAAGCTGGACCTGGAACAGAGTGGTCATCCGAAAGGAGGGGCAAAGAATCCAAGGGTTCAGACGGGACAAGTCCAGAATGAACTGAATATCCGCACAGTCCCATTTCAGTACTGGAAATGGCCAGGAAACCTACCTGAGGGATAGGGTCGTTTCGACCACTCCCAAACTCAGCCACTCCTAGATGACCTGATAGAGCAAAGGGGAAGAAGCCTGCCCTGCTAGCCCTGAACTTCCCCAGAGAAGGACCGGAGGACATGACCCAAAACGCTCACAAATCATGGGACCAGGCGTGAGCAAACAGCGCAAGCCTCCCGCCCAGCTCCCAGTCAACGGGGCAACCCACAAAATGGCCAACATTTTGCCAATTGCCAAAATGGCA